ATAAATAAATAAAATAAATCTTAAAAAAAAAAAATGTTACCAATCTCCTCATCACAGCTTATGATTCTTCTGATTCTTACGGTTGTGTTAGCAATGTCCCAAGCATGGCCCCACAGTTCTTCCTTTGGGAAAAAAATCTAGTCTCCAACAAATCCCAATTACAGACCCTCTAAGAAAGTTAGTGACCAACTCCGAAATCCATACTGTGAACTTCCTTTTCTCCTCATCCCAAAGGTTAACCACTCTATACCAAACCCAGTGCTAAATGGGAAATCTTTCATTTACTTCAGATGGTTAAAGGAAATTCTAGATAGACGCAAATAGGTCTTTCAAAGAAATTAAACGGAGATCAGCCCACTATCAGTTAGCCACAATGGAATTTTATTGCAAGGAGGCATGGGTGCCCTCTTTATTCCCCATTTCAGTAACAACCTCCTTAAAAACAAGGCAAGCCCAATAACTCTCTCACTCTGAAGCGATTCTTCTCCAACCAATGGTGAGTAAAAATATATAACTACACAAAAGGTTCACGAAAATAATCACTGCAGCCACCCAAAAATATTCTAGCTACCAGCCCCAACAACAAGGTGGTGGTCAATGGAGAGACAGTTTGTTTTCAACCTTTTATATTCTGGCACAGCACAACACAGAAGGGAAAAACTGCTATTATTCTAGTAGAGAAGTAAGGCAAGATGTACTAAGATCACTACAGAATCAAGACGCCTATATTTCCTACTACCAATCAAGAATCAGAAAGCAGTAACATACACGTCTCTCACATTCTTGTGGAGGGAGAATATAAATCATACTCCAGTTTTCTGCTTAGTCCCTAGGGTTGGTAGTGTTTTCTGTGCCCTTTCTCCCCTCAGACACTTACATCTAGCTCAATTTCCCGTAACCTTCTAACATATCAAGTTTCATGTTCTGAAAGTTGTCAAATCCACTCAAATCAGTTCTATCAGTTGATACTACAACGCTAAGTACAGACTTAGTTTTTATACCAAAGCCGATATCCTATGATAAAGTATTACTGAGCTGACTTTCCATCTTCACTCCCACTATCCAGCTATCATTCCTTTCAGAGATGACTTTCCTGTGTGCAAGGCTAAGTCCTGCCCAGCGACAGGACTGACTCAAATACTGCTTCTCCTGGGAGGAATGGAAAACTGAACAGAAAAAAAAACCACCCAAAATAAAAACAAAAAACAACCAGTTAAGCACAAGACAGAAAACCTAACTGTGATCAATCAGAACCAACCAGGCAGAGGTTATTTATCTGGGTTTTGTTTTGTTTGTGGGGGTGGGAGGTTTCTCAGCCCACAGTCACCATGAGGTTTGTATGAGAAAAGGCATGCCATTCTAGCCTCAAACAGTCCAAAGAGTTGGAGGGGACAATTTACAGCCTCTTGTGTAAAAAATGTCTATAAATGCCAGGGCCATTCTTCCCCCCGTCACTTCCCATTATCCTAAACCAACAGGATTCCATTCACTGAGACTTGAGCTGGAAACATGAACGGACAGGCCTTTCTTGGGCAGGGGGAAGAGGGGACAGATGATTGAGGGGGGAAGGGAAGCCAGATTTCTTTAAGTTTCTGTGTACTCCCTAATGTGTACAGTACACTAATGGAGCTGAAAACTGAAATACATGAACAGCAATGTAAAAGTCGACCTACAAAAGAAGAGATTTAGTACCCCCAGATCTGTGATATGGTCAAGCCATAAATCTAAAATATGAAGAGGATATGATCAGATTGTGAGTTAAAAAAAAAAAATCAGTCATTAACACTACTGATCCGTGGCCAGCTTCACCTCACAAACTCTCTCTTTACCATATACATTGGTCTGCAGCAGAGTCTACTGAAATCAGCAAGCAATCAGGGTCTTTCTTTGTTTTTAAGATTTATTTTATCTATTTATGCATACAAGAACTAGGGTGTAGGCCAGAGATGCAGGGAGTGAGAAGATTCACCAGAGACAGAGTGGGGAGTAGAACAGAAGAATCTACGGAAATACACTGCTGAGGGGAGCAGATGGGAAACAGGAGAGGTCTGTTGCGCCATGTGGGTAGCTCCCTGGCCAGTATTACAGATGCTGCGGATGGCTTCACAGTGCTGTGCTTAACCCCTGCACCACCAGGGAGACCCTCCAGGGACATTTTGATTTTATTTTACAAAAGTATTACTCAGTGATGCATAGGAAATTTTTAAAAACTAGGCTTCTGCCACAGTATTTAAGAAGCACTCTTCTAAAACATGTGCTAATGAATGCTATTAGAGAACAGCCCTCATACCATCAGACTTCTGCCAATTACTATTATCTGACTACAACCCCTCAGAGATTTAAAATGGAAACAGAGCTTATCAATGATCAACTAAAACACAGAAGTTAATTGACTTAAAGCCATAAAATCAGTTGGTCAAAAGAACACAACTAAGAAAAAAGGGAAAACTAGTATTTATTAAAGGTCAAAGTGTCACGACATTAGACAATTTCAAATATACAATTATTTATTCTTCATAGTCACAGTGTTAGGTAGTAAGTTTCAGTTTTTTAAATGAGGACCACAGAAGTTTAGTGATTTGCTAAAGCCACAAAGTTAGTAAGTTAGTAAATGTATCTCTTGTTTTACTCAGCCTGCTATGGATTAAAAATGAAAAACAGGTCAAATGTGGAAAAAAGATTCCAGGGAAAGAGATGAGAAAAGGCTGATGCTCTTGGAAAGAAACACTATAATAACTGAAGTCGACGGTATAGAGGGACAAACTTTTCTCAATATGTCCATATGAACCAATTAGTGAGAGATGATATTCCATTTTGTATATTTTGACGGAACACGCAAACACATACAATTCCCTAAAGGAGTGCAGTTATTGCTGAGATAATCAGACACCTAGCCCTCACATACAAAAACCGGGCAACAGATGAGAACCAGGGTCACAGATTCAAGGTACACTTCCCCTTGGTCAGTCAGCAAAACACAAATGACTTTGGTTTACAATTCCCAATTATGGTGCACGTGGTATTAATCACATAATTTGGGGCCTTCCAGGTGGCGCAGAAGGTTAAGCACTGTGAAGCTGTCTGCAGCCTCTGCAGCACGGGTTCGATTACTGGACAGCTAGGGAGATTCCCACATGTCATGGCAGACCTCGGCAGTGCTTTCGGTCAGTCTGCCTTTTCTGTTCCCCACTCTGTCTCTGGTGAATCCTCTCACCCTCCCGTGCCTCTGGCCTATACCCCAGCTGTTGTATAAATAAATAAATAAATCTTAAAAAAAAAAAAAAAACTCACATATGCTGTCTATCTCTCAACCCATAAATATTATCCGTAAACCTGCAGCAGTAGCAAATACTGCTACTGAACAGTTGTGCTCTCAGCATCAAGCTAGGCACAGAGAACTGATGTTTATTCCCAGTAAACATCAAAAATGTAATCTAAAGGGAAAGAAGATTAGAGCACTGTTGCATGCAAGGTTATTAGGGAACATATATGGGCCCATAAGGACACAATGTGTTAACTTTTTAGTTTTATTTTTCTGACCAAAATGTAACCATTGTCAGGTCAGTTTTTTCCAACAGATTTCCTCAGAGCTAAATGCTTCCTAATATAAATGGGATATAAAATTTTTTTTTATTTTTTAAAAGATTTATTTATTTATTGATTTATACAAGCGCTGGATATAGTCAGAGGCACAGGAGGGTAGGAGAATTCACCAGAGCCAGAGTGGAGAGCAGAACAGGTCTGCACGCCATGTGGGACCCTCGCCCAGCAGCCGGGAATAGAACTGGTGCTGCAGAGACTGCGGGCAGCTTCACAACCCAGCGCTCAATCGCTGCGCCGCCAGGGAGGCCCATTATTATTCTTTTTTTAAGATTTATTTTATTTATACAAGAACTGGGGTACAAGCCAGATGCGCGGGAGGGTGAGAGGATTCACCAGAGACAGAGCGGGGAACAGAACAGGCAGACAGATGGAAGACGCTGCTGAGGGGAGCAGCAGGCAAGGCAGGAGAGGTCTGCTGTGCCATGTGGGTTTCTCCGCAGCTGGCGGGGATCAAACTGGCACCGCAGAGGCTGCAGACAGCTTCACAATGCTGCGGTCAACCACCTGCGCCAGCAGGGAGGCCCTGATTTTTTTAAATGATTGCTTTCTGGCTTGAAATAGTCCTACCTGAATCCTGCCACCACTTCAACAAAGATTAAGAGACAACCTATTCTAGGCAAAAAGGAGAATCCTCAGTGTTTTCTCCAATGAGTCTAGCAAAACTCCAAACACAGCAATGGCTGTAGAACCAATCACCCCATATACCATGGTACTGATAAAGCCATCTTAATAAGTTAAAAAGTCAGCAATTAAAAGAGTGATTTAACTTTTTTTAACTCACTTTTGTTCACAGAACCTCCAAATTTTGTTCCTAGGTAATTCTAACTTAAAGGTTAAGATTGTAGGCCTCCCTGGTGGCCTAGGGGTTAAGGCTCAGTGCTATCACTGGCTACAGCCTAAAGTTTGATCCCCAGCCAGGGAGCTGACCCACACTGCACATCAGACCTCTCCTGTCTCGCCTGCTGCTCCCCTCAGCAGTGTATTTCAGTAAATACACCTGCTCTGCTCCCCACTCTGTCTCTGGTGAATTCTCACTCCCTCCCCTCCATGCACCTCTGGCCTACTCCCCAGTTCTTCTATGCAAAAAAATGAGAGAGAGAGAAAAAAAAGATAGGATTGTTTTCCCCTGATTATTTCATTTCCATTATGCCTGTATCAGAAGTTGAAGCAAATGCACCTACATCTGAATTCTGTAAGAAAATATAAACCATCCGTGGGAAGAAATGATTATCTCTGTGAAACAAATCCTACCATGCAAATTAATAGCCAATGGAGGCAATATTCAAATGACTGGATGAAATGAAGTGCTGAGTAGTCAGATACAGTCTCAGGACAATCCACTTCCAGGTGTTGTAGCCCCTACATTGCTGTATTTGCAAAAAAACACAGTACTTTACCTTTCTGGAGATTGAAGACACATTCAAACCAAATCTTTGAGCTCTTTCCTTTAGCTTATCCAGGTTAACCTATTAAAAAAAGAGAGAGGAACCCCGCATATTAAAATAAAACAGACAACACAAAAGGCAAAAACTGTGATCCAAAGATAGAATTCAAATAAACCTACAATATCAAAGTTAATTTATGTGCCAAATTAGGAAACTAAGTAGCACCCATCCATGTCAACAAGTACTAAAAGACCACTGCTAGAATGCAGTCAGCCTCGACTCCTTTATCCATTAAGGAGGGAAAATGTCTAAGGAGTTCTCAAGATCAATGTAAGCCAAACGCTGCTTGAAAAATGCAAACAAATGTCTAAGTCATCACCTTCAAACAAGTCCATCATTTACATTTCAAATCATTAATTCCCATACATGGTCTATGCAAATAGTTCTTTTTAACAAAAAAGATTTATTTTATTTATTAATGCGTACAAGAGCTGGGGTATAGGCCAGAGGTGTGGGGGGTGAGAGGGTTCACCAGAGTCAGAGTGGGGAGCAGAACAGGTAGACTGACTGAACTACACTTCTGAGGGGACCAGGAGAGGTCTGCTGTGCCACATGGGTCAGCTCCCTGGCTGGGGATCGAACTCATGCTGCAGTGGTTGGTCACAGCTTCATAGTTCTTAGACTTAACCCCTTACATCACCAGGGAGGCCCTATGCAAATAGTTCTTAACATCTAGTTCTCCTTTCTTCAAAAGACATCTACTACCACTTCCCCACTATTTTTTCTTCCTTCCTTTTTTTAAGAAGCTTTGTTAACAACTTCCGCTACAACATTTCACTTTCATTAAAATCCTGAATTGAAGCCACAAGAAAAGGATTTCATAAAGCTGAAGGTATTTTACCACCACCACATTTTTTAAACATGACAATCAGACACAATGGTCCAGAGGCATTTTATTCTACTAGTCTTTATTCTGATTTTATTTTTAATAGGTAATATTGAAAAATACCAATATCTACAAATAGGATCCATAAATTTATTCCAGTTTTTCTTGTGATAATTACACATTATCCAAAACCAATGGGTAACTACGCCTAATACCCAAGTAGCACAAAACAAAGAATTATACGAATTATCCTCTAGCTAACAAAATCTATCTTTTGAAGAGGAGTGAGAGGAAGGAAAATATCTATAATGATTTAGAAGATGTAGCCATTTTCCGCAAACAACTCAAACAACTCTTCTTATTCAGAATATACAACACTGTATTAAAAAAAAAAGTCACCAAAGTCATACGATCTCAGAGTTTCCTTTGATCTGGAGAGAAGGAGGTCTCTCTAACTTCAAAACTAACTGTAGAGAGTTAAGTTCTGGTTTTCAAGGTATAAAAAAAGATTTCTTACCATAGGCTTGGTGTCAGATGACGGACCTAAGGAAGCAAATAAAAAGTTTTATTATTTGTGAAAGTCATAAAGGAAGTTGACAGTCTTCAAATCAAATTATATAGAACAGAAATAGTACACAGGACAAATGTTCTTTATCCTATGGTAAGAAAAGGCATGGATAAGAAATGGGAACATTTAATAGTGCAGCCACTTCGGAAAAGTTTGACAGTCACTCAAGAAGTCCAATGCAGGGTTTACCATACGAGCTAGCAATTCCACAGCTAGGTACAGACCCAAGAGAAAGAGAAACATACATCCACACAGAAACTTTTATATGAATGTTCACAACAGCATTATCCATAGTGGCCAAAAAAAGTGAAAACAACTCCAACTGTCCATTAACTGATGAATGAATAAATAAAATGTGGTATATGTATACAATGGAATATTATCCAATGGTCAAAGACAAAGTCCTGATGCATGCTACAACATGGCTGAGCCCTTTTGTGCTAAGTAGAGGAAGCCAGTTAGAAAAGACCACAAATGACTTAATTTATATGAAGGCATATATATACACGTATGTATATATAAATGCAGTTGCTTAAGACAGGAGGCGGAGGGAAAGAACGGGAAAAATTGCTAATAGGTACAGGGCTTATTTCTGGCGTGCTGGATATGTCCTAAAGTTAGACTGTGAGAATGCTTCCACAATCTCACAAATAATATTTAAAAACAATGAATTATAGGCTTTAAAAACAATGAATTAGGGCCTCCCTGGTGGCGCAAGGGGTTAAGCACATTGCACTGTGAAGCAATCCGCAGCCTCTGCAGCATGAGTTCAAAATGAACAACAACCAAAAAAAAAAAAAAAAAAAAAAAACCCAATGAATCACAGGCTTTATTCTTTTTATTTTTTTTTTAAAGATTTATTTATTTATGCATATGAGAGCTGGGTTACAGGCCAGAGATGCGTGGGATGAGAGGATTCACCAGAAACAGAGTGGGGAACAGAACAGGCAGATTGATCCCCCGAAGTACACAGCTGAGGGGAGCAGCAGGCAAGTCAGGAGAGATCTGCTGCGCCATGTGGGTTGCTCCCTGGCTGGCCGGGGATCGAACTCATGCTGCAGGGGCTGCAGATTGCTTCATAGTGTGGTGCTTAACCCCTTGTGCCACCAGAGAGGCCTGGCTTTATTCTTTTTAAAGATTTATGCATACAAGAACTGGGATATAGGCCAGAGGTGTGTTGCGGGTGAGAGGATTCACCAGAGACAGAGTGGGGAGCAGAACAGGTGAATCTACGGAAATACACTGCTGAGGGGAGCAATGGGGAAACAGGAGAGGTCTGCTGTGCCATGTGAGTCAGCTCCCTGGCTGGGGATCAAACTCAGGCTGAGACTTAACCCCTAGCCTACCAGAGAGGCCCTGGAATTTTAATTTTTGTCTTTCTTCAAATAGCACTATGTAGTATCTTTAAATTTTTGTTTACCATTGCCATTCCTATTATATCTTTCTATACAACTAAAAGCTGGAAAATATTTTGTTTCTAAAACAGTGACAGTGGCCAGAATTCTACTGGTCTTTTAAAAAACACAGCAAAACACTACAAAGTGTTTGGAGAACGTTTTCTTAACACACCTGAAATACGAGCAGGTCATTAGGAAGCCTAGATTGAATTAGGAGACTACATTAAAATTTTCAGTCTCTGAGAAAAAGAAATATGCTCTTTTAAAAAGTTACACACACCCTTTATTACAAGATATTCGTTGGAGTTTGAAAAACACAGACAAACACAATGAAGTCAGACTCCACCAACCAGAGATAATAAATGTTAACTATTCATGTGTATCTATACACATACTCCTCTTCTTCTTCCTTTTTTTTTTTTTTTTTTTTTTTTTTTGGGACCCTCGCCAGTGGTGGGGATCAAACTGGTGCTGCAGAGGCTGCGGGTAGCCTCGCAACCCAGCGCTCAACCGCTGCGCCACCAGGGCAGCCCTATACACATACACTTCTAATCTTTTTTCCTTTTCAAACATGTACTTTTATTACTAGAACAGGAACATATTGCTAGTGTAATTTTATAACTTGTTTTTTTCACTTAGTATCTTTAACAAGTATTCTTCAATGTCATTCTTAATACCTGTATGGTCTTGTATACTATAGCACATATCTATTTAACTAATTCTCTATCATATATTATACAGTTTCCAGTTACTGATCCAGTTGTTTGGACATGACACCTAGAAATAATGTTACAATAAACTCTATGCCTAATTCTTCAAGCATACCTAAAATCATTCCCTTGTAAATTCCTGTAAGCTGGAGCATTAAGGTAAAAGATACTCTCCTTTCCATTTTTTTACTCACAGTTGGGAGTATAAAACTGGAGAGGTACACAATAATTATATTGAGATACTGGAATTAAAGTAAGGAAGGTACTACAAACTTTCTGAAGGTGTACAAGAAAAGGGAAACAAATGTTATAGCACTCTCTCCTATTCTCTCATAACTTCACTTCCTCCTTTAAATTGCCCAAGAAGTCTTAAGGTTTAAAGCAAAATGGTAAATGTTATAACCTCTTAAAGGTTTCTAGCGCTAACAAATTTACCTTAACTTGGGGGAATGAAAACCGTTATATCAGAAAAGTAAGACTATAAAAATAACTTTCTCAGAAGAGTCTCTGTATTCTTACCTTTTGATGGAACTGAAGAAATCCCAAATCTATAGAGAGAAAAGCAAGTTAAATTTTAGGAAGCTGTTCACACTCCTGGTTGTCTGCAGCCGTGTCAAGTGTACATATGACACTTCTTGCTTGTGATCTTAAGCTTGCAATCATTAGCTAATTCTAACAACCCCATGAAAGAGGTTCAGTTTACTGTTTTTCTCACCAAGAGCCCAGAGAATAAGCTAAAAGGAAGCCTTAGCAGTATTGGGAATAGCATTCAGTTCTTGACATTTACTAATTACAAAAACTTTTGATAATAAAACCCCATCTATAGCTACTACATCCCAATCAGCAGAGACGTTATGGATAGAGCCAATGAGTATTTCTTTTCCAGAAGGCCTCTATTCTACCTAAAAACAATTATATGTAACCCACCCCCTCCTTAATATCAGCACTGTATTAGATTCAACAGGGTGGGGAAACTCACCTAGCTGCCCGTGCAGCTTTCTTACTCTCCAGGCTCACAGGTACATTGAATCGTTCAGCCCTCTTCTGCATTCTCTAAGTGAGAAGAGACAAAAGGAGGGAAAGAAAAAATTCAACTTCTGATTTGCTTCAATTTTAAAAGTTGTTTACAGACATGTATCTCTAGAATATCATGAATAATCTTATCTAAACTGAGAATACTGACAATCCTCTAGAGGGTATCATGTTGTATCCATTCGAAGGCTTAACTCAACAGCCCTTTCCAGAAAGCAAACACAAAAAGACTATTATTACATTCATGTCCCCAAAAACAAAAGAGAAGGAATAAAATAAAACCCACATTCTGTATGAAGCCAAGAAGACAAAAGCCGTGTTTGGTTGACCTCTGAAAAGGGATCAAAGGAACAGCTTGGTTCCAATACTAGTGGTACGCTTTCACTTAGAAACAAGGCAGTGTTGTCCTATGCGGTTTTCACTTTAAAGATACAAGAAAAAAAGATTGATCTCAACTAGAACCTAGTTTCAGACACTGTGAAACAGAGTCGAGAGAAATTTCAATCTCACCAGCTAGTGGACAGTAACTTAAGAGGGACATCTTCCCTTTTCACTTTTCATCTCTTCTAAGCGACAACTGCCCCAAACTCTGATCCTACTTTGTAGACATCTAAAAGAAAGTTATCACTAAGAACACAGCAGTATACACACAAAATACAGGGCTTCAAAAGTGACATCCACTGTGCCACTCCAAATATTTCCCCAAGTATAGGTTTGGTGGGAAAACCTATCAACACAAAAATCTGTCAATACTGATTTTCTACTATGAGTAAAATGTTTAAAATGGTAATACATACAATAAAGGGTAAGAGAGAAGTAAATACAGAAACTGCTATTCTACTAAGGAGCAGAATACCAACCTCAGTCTGTGGTAATTCAGATGTAATCTTTACCACTTTCTTCTCTGCTGCCCTAGAAAAGAAGGAAGATTTTTAAAAACAGAAAACTGATATTCTAAACTAAAACCTTAGAACCGTATAAGAATTTACATGACTCACGTCCCCGTCCCATATTTGCCACCCCTTAGGAAAAAAAAAGAAGAAAAACAAAGCCATGAAGCTTATTAGAATTTTGGTTCCCTGAACTATCATCTATTGGCAAAAGTTCAAGTAACAGACTAAGCTGCTTTGCTGAGGTATAAGAAAGTAATAAGGAAAGAAGTCTAGCTAAATATAATTAGGCTGAAGGACACCAGAAACCATTTTACTTACAGGATTTTTCTGGACTAATCACTATTCCTCCAACCCTTATTTAAATACCAGCTCTCAAATTTCATCATAACAATTAATGAGTGCTCTACAATTTCTGGTTTCCTTCTTTTACAAATCTTTTAATTCTCCCATGGGACCTGTAGCTTCAGCTGGAACAGTCAAAGTGGAACAAATAAAAGTGCCAAAGGGGGCCAGAACAAAAAAGGTTAAAGGGATTTTGAATTAGGAAAACATGGCAAGTTACTAGTTAAAAGGTTTAAGAGAAAACAAAAGAAGGGGGACCATAGGGGCGGGAGACAAAGTTCGGAAGTACCCGGGATAAATGGAAGGGCATTAACCCTCCACCAAACAACTCTCATAAAACTGTGGGTCATAACCAGTCTCATTAAGGTGCCTCATTTAGAGACATGGGCAGCTTTTGTTCCAATATCCCGGACACTTTTCCCATTTGATGCCCTGTAAGGTAGTAATGGTTTAATGGCATTTTCAGAGGAAGCAATTCTAAAACAGGAACTTACTCTCTCCTTCATTCTTTTGTTGGAGGTCCCCGGACTGACAAATATGCACTGGGTGCCCCCTGCTGACCATAACTAGGTCCTACAACATTTAACTGTCTTGGGTGGGGAAAAAAAAATCATCACACTACAAACAGGTTATTTTTCAGAACGTGGAATGATGAAGCAAGGAGACTCCTTTGGAATGCTCAAAGGGCATAAATGACCCCTATCTTGACTTTTAAAGAAATTTCTAAATTCTTCCCATTTCCCAATCATGCTCCCTTTCCCAGCCCTCTTTCATTTAGGCAGAAAGGGATACTGAAATTTATTAAGGTTTTACTTGAAGTCCAATGCCATTAGGAAAACAGTCCTCTCCTCCAACCCCAGGCTCCTATTTCCCATCTTGAAGCACAATCACTGCAGCATACCTCACAGCAAAAAAGGAACCGCAGAGAGGAAACTTTCTTACGTTCTATTCCAACTCCCTAACACACAATTAAGCTTAAGAAGTAAATACACATCACATTCTGGGGTGCAAGGGAAATTTCTCTGTACTGAGAAATCTCTCTCCTACTCACAGTCACACGTATAACATTCCACAACTAAGGGAACCCAGAACCTTTCTGCATATACTTTGGTCTAACCACTACTATCCCTCCAAAAAATCAAAATTACCACCCACACACTTTCAATTTTCTTGCTTAAAAATTTATTCATAAAGTTAAATTCCTCTAACAACTGTTCTCTATCCCAGCCCAAGGCCTCTCCCACAACCATCTTCTGCCAGACCCTCAGAAAAGCACCCTAATTTGATTCCTCTCTTTTGGAGCCAGAGGTGCTAGAGCAGCACTTTATTTCATGTGCCTGGTTTTGTTCAATCCAGATGTCAGCTGGAACAGAAACAACCTAGAACTCAGGAACAAACCAGTTCCAATGACAATACAAGTTCTACTCTGTGAATATACGGTATTCACTGGACAATGAATGTACAGCAAACTGAAGAAAGTCCAGACTTCTAAAGGAAACATTTCATTATAAAGCAGCTTAAAATGAAGGTCTTCCAGAAGTCATCTTCACAATTTTCCACTTAACAAGGAAACATTTCCCCTCTAAATGCATGAAATCATGTTAGTAGACTGTGTTGGAATTTAATCTGGTTAATAAATATCTGAAACTTGGTTGGGGGGTGTGGGAATTAAAGCCTTCTAAAAACAAGAGAATAGGGATCTAACCCACATATGACACAACAGACCTATCCTGTGTCGCCCGCTACTCCCCTTAGGAGTGTATTTTGTAAATCCGCCTGTTCCGTTCCCCACTATGTCTCTGGTGAATCCTCTCACCCCACTCTCCCACACATCTGGCCTATACCCCAGTTCTTCTACACAAAAATTAAAAAAAAAATCACATTTTACATATTCTGAGAATGAATTTTTTTTGAAAATTTCAAACCACTATTTTTTAACTCACACAAGTAAATGATCGTTGCATTTACCCATCTGCATTCTAAACCCAGAATTCCCCAAAGTATCTCTATTTAAAAACTCTCCCATTAGGGCAACATATTCCTATTGATGGAACTGTTGAGAGTAAAAAAACTTTACTACAAAGGACTGAATAGACCTGGAAATACACCTGACATTTACTAAGGTTTCTTTGACATAATACTGGAACTTTTTTTTTATGCATTCTGTCCTGAATCCACGAAATTTTTGTTTTGTTTTGTTTTGTTTTGAGTAACCAGGATCTGCAGAAAGGTTGTAATTTTTTTCCAGCAAAGCTAACTTGTCGCATTTTCTCTCCCCTTGATACCAACACAGCATACAAATAGTGGTAGTAATTTTTGCTACTTATTTCAGAGTCTGTTTTTGCATAACTTCCATAGGGATTTTGTCTGTTTTAACAAAAAATTGGACATAAGTTTGATTGTGTGGCTTTGTGTGGAGTTCTTCCAGAAAGTTAAAAAAGAGCTGAACCAAGAAGAGGAGAACCTGTTTGCCTTGTTTGTAGGGTTCCAGAGACCTCCAAAGAAGGTGAGGAAGCTTGCCTCCATTGGCAGGACTGGACAACCCGGCCAACGAAAATGCCCTGGTACCCTCGAGAAGAGAAAAGCCCAGGTGGAGTCTGATGAGACCAACTTTATACCTGAAGCATACATCGACTGAATGCCACCGGTTCGCTCTGATCCTGTGTGGAGTATTTCAACAAAGCCAGCTAAAAATTGCTGTTAGTTATTTCTACCCTGTGATTTTATGCAAAAATAGAAAAAATGGTTTAAAAGTAGATTTAGTTTGCAAACTTTTGCTATGCTGTTAAAAGTTTGGGATCAAGGTTGAGAAAATTTGTGTTTTACATCAGTTGAACCATTTTAACATTTTTTCTCTGTGATTTTGATATATTTGCTATCTTGTTTTAGCCAATTCTCCAAATTTTTTTTTCTTTTGGCTTGGATAATGGACTATTTTTAAGTAATGAAACTGTCATACTGGACATTCATGGACAATGCTGCTGACTAATTGTTGCTTCTCTTACACACATTGTAACCCTGAAAAAAAAGACTGTCTCCTAAGACTACACCCTGAGATTGTGCCACCATAGATATGGTGAAATAAAAATTAAAAGGGGGGATTGCAACAGGGTGGTCCCCAGGAAAGGGGGAGGTTCCCTGCCCCACCCAAGGAGGGTGGAGCTGAGCAGCAAAAGAAGAAGCTGCAGAAGAGACGGAGGAAGGAAGGAAGCAAGATGGAGCCAGGAGACCTGGAGGAGGCGCATGGAGCCTAGAGACATGTGAAGAAACTGCGCTTGTCTTTTGGTCGTGGGCTGGGTGACACAGATGTGGGTGAGACCCGTGGGGAGGTGACAATGGCAGCTTTTATCTGGATGTTGATTTTGCTCTTTTCCTTCCGGGCTTGTCCGGTTGTTTGTGACCCTTTGCTGTGGGTCCCCACTGGAAGATGCTTTAGACTTGTGGCAGGCTTTGGGCCTTGCTCTGGGCCGACCCCATATGGATGGAGTTTTACCCACGAGGGGATGGGTAACTTTGGGTGCTTCATTTAGAAACTAGACTCTTTGCCTTACCTGTATTGTTTTCTAGTTTTTATTAAAGTTCCTTCCCATTAAAGTGTCATATGTTTTGTGTTGATGCGGCGGATGGCAGAACCCATTTAGAATAGGCAGGTTTGTGGGGGTCTGGGGTGCCCCTCTCCCTGTCCTATAACATCCCCAGTGGCACAGCACTTGAGCGCTGGGTTGCAAAGCTGCCCGCAGCCTCTGAAGCGCCGGTTCAATCCCCGGCCGCTGGGCGAGTGTCCCACATGGCACGCAGACCTCTCCTGCCATGCCCGGTGCTCCCCTCAGCAGTGTACTTCGGTCCTTCTGCCTGTTCTGCTCCCCGCTCTGGCTCTGGTGAATTCTCTCACCCTACTGCGCTTCTGACTGTACCCAGTGCTTGTATAAATAAATAAATAAAGAAATCTACCAAAAAAAAAAAAATCACACTCTAATGTATGGCGGGGTTAGCTTTCTTTCTCCCATTGTTAAAAAAAAAAAACTATCCCATTAGCTATTTTCTCAAGATACTATATCTAAACATAAACCTCCTATGATAAAAAAATAAATAGCTCATTTTAGAAAGCAATTATACTTGATAACATCTAATAAAACATTAAACGCACATCGCTGGTGATGAAGCAAATTCACTGCTAGGAATTTATATCATACAAACACAGCACTGCATTTTTTGCTATTATGAATAATCTAAATGTCCATCAACAAGAGACTGGTGAAACTACTGTTAATCCATAGAAGGGAGTACTATTAGCTGTCAAAAAAAAGAATAAGTTCTAATTTGGTAACTACTAAATCTGAACATGAATACATGTACTATTCTTACAACTTCTGTATCTAATTGCAATTTTCCATAGTTACAAGCTAAAAAGAGAATGATCACTCACTTACTAGAATAATTATCCCTATTTCATAGGGTTGACAAGGATTGTGAGAATACTTATAAAACATTTCAAATCTTGCCTAAAATGTAATTACCGTTTAAATAAGAACATTATACAGAAAGCTTCAATGTGAAAAACAACAAAAGCAGGCATAATGTGTATGTGTCTGTATGTATACAGCAATAAGTTATTCTTGAAGACTATATTTAAAAACTCCAGGAAGTCATATAGGGATGGAGACAAGGGATACACAATTTCCAATTTATGTGCTCCTTTACATTTTTATCAGTACATATATTATTTATTATTAGTATATATGTTGTCTTTAATAATAAAATATTAATACAACCAGGAGAAACAGAATGTAAAAAAAGAACCAACTGCTCTTAAAGAACTGAAGTATAAGATGGTCAGATATTTGTGTAAAAAGTTCCAAATAGGCCTCTCCTGGTGGCGCAGCGGTTGAGCACTGGGCTGCGAAGCTGCCCACAGCCTCTGTAGTGCTGGTTCGATCCCCGGCCACCCCACTGGCGAGGGTCCCACATACATGGCGCACAGACCTCTCCTGCCACACCCGATGCTCCCCTCAGCAGTGTATTTCGTCGGTCTGCCTATTCTGTTCCCCACTCTGGCTCTGGTGAATTCTCTCACTCTCCCGCGCTTCTGACTGTACTTGTATAAATAAATAAATAAATCTTTAAAAAAAAAAATGTCCCAAATAAAGGTGGCTATAATCAACCTTGTGGCAGTTTAAATAAATCAGAACCACTTTCCCCTATAGTATCCTATCCTCCCCTTTTCCACTGTAAATAAAGAAGGGAGAATACAGCGTTACTTAAGAGACAAAAACCTCTGCTCAGCACCCTCTACCCTTATAAAATTCCTGATAAGCAGACAATAGGTATGATTCTCTATACAGAAAATGATCTAATGTGGTAATCCTACAAAAGACTAACAAAGGCTAGGAGACTGTCTGGGATTGAAGTCTCCTGATTCTAATCTAATATAACCCAGATATGACTTTGCTTCTTTGAGACCATGGATTTGGAATGAAGTAAACTCTTTCCAAAAATTGTATAATCTAATGAGAAATAAAAAGGCCAATAGGGGTGTATAAGAGATTAAAAGTTCCCCCAAAACCCAGAACTGTCCATTCTGTAATGAGATTATTAAAAAAAAGGATAGTTACACGTCAACAGTTTTTTCAGCAGGTTCTTCTTCTTTGGCAGGAAGATCTATTGGCTTTGGTTCTTCTTCCTAAAACCAAATGAAACAAGATGATTAACTTAAATCAAGAGTACTGCACATACCCATCAACAAAGACTATGAGAACTCCAAAATGAACAAGTCTTTCTGAACCTTCATTTCCCCTTTATGCTCCCCTAATGAGTTAGTATTTGAGTACTCTTATGATTGGTTGTTAAGCAATGTGGACAAGGCAGTGGCACATTGCCAGGCCAGTGACTAACCTTACTCTGTCCAACTCACCTCTGTTTCATCTCCCAGTACATCTTCTTCATTTGCTTCCTCTTCAGCTAAAGAATATTAAAATATTTAGGTCAAGCCCTGCTATAAAACCATCTCGATCACTGTACTTAGGCTAAAATTATAATCATTTTGCTTTCCCCAAATGAAACTCAATCATGAAGGCAGAACTAACACTAACAAAATTTGCTCTATATAAAATATAAAATTATATTCTCAACCTAACATTAATATAAAGTTGAACTCCAACTGGACTGAAGAACTAAATATAACGAGGTCAACCATGGCATTAGTAAAAAGCAATAGAGAATATCTTTATTATTAAGTAGTGGGGAGGGGAAAAAAAATCAAAGACACAAAAGAGGCAAAAAATTTACTATTTCTCAAAACTAAGGACATCTACTTAAGGAATGACACCAAAGGAAAAGAAATAAATGACAAAGAAGGTATCTGTATCTAAAAATAACAATGTAATAGCATTAGAATATAAAAGAGATGCCTGTAAACTGAGAGTAATGGAAACCCCAATAAAAAAACAGGCAAAGATGACACCCAAAGAACCAAGAACACAAGAAATATTTAACAATCGTAAATTAGAGGAATATAAATTAAAACAACAGATAAGCAAAAATTAGACTACTTGGTAGAACAGCACCAAGTTTAGGTTTGTGATGATACAAGAACCCTAATGATGAGAATATCAATTTTACCCTATAATGACTCTCACACAGGAGCATTAGGAAATATTAAGGAAGTAGTTCAGGAGGCAAAATAGGTATGTCACTGGGTGAATTAAGTAAGACGTGGTGGATTCTTGTATATTATAGAACACTACACCAAAACTGAGTCAATAGACTACATGAGTCAATAGATTACACGACCTCACAGCCACAGGTCACATGGATCTATCATTATTTAAAAAAAAAAAAAAAAAAGACATAAAGGAAAAAGAGAAAGTAAGGCCATGGCCTCACTGCCACTCATATAAAAATACTATATGCCGGGCCTCCCCTGGTGGCGCAGCGGTTGAGCGCTGGGCTGTGAGGCTGCCTGCAGCCTCTGCAGCACCGGTTTGTTCCCCAGCCACCGGCGAGGGTCCCACCAAAAAAAAACAAAACTTTATGCCAAATACTACATGGTTTACGAGGACAAAGATTGGCTGAGTGTGTTGGGTGTGAAAGAAATGGAAATAAAATTGGAGGGGATATTGTACAACCTGGCATGATAGTAAAACCTATTTCATGTTATTGTACTTAACTTTATTGGGTTTTTATAAAAGATTTATTTATTTATGCATACAAGAGCTGGGGTACAGGCCAGAGGTACGGGGGGTGACAGGATTCACCAGAGAGAGTGGGGAGCAGAATAGGAGGATCTACTGAAATACACTGCTAAGAGGAGCAGCGGGCAAGACAGGAGAGGTCTGCTGTGCCCTGTGGGTTGCTCCCTGGTCGGCTGAGAGTCAAACTTGTGCTGCAGTGGCTGGCAATAGCTTGATGGCGCTGTCTTTAACCCCATGCCACCAGGGAGGACCCCCGTACTTCACTTTATTGTACTTTACAAATACTGGTTTCTTTACGAACTGAAAGTTTATTACAACCCTGCACAAAGCAAGTCTATCTGGCACGATTTTTCTTACAGTGCATGTGCCTACTTCATGTCTTTGTTACGTTTTGGCAACCATTACATTTTTTTAAATATTTTTTTATTATACATACATAAGTATATACTATATATATTAAAACATTATATTTTATGGTGATCTATAATCTTTGCTGTTACTATTGTAATTGTTTTGGGCACCATGAACCACACCCACACAAAATGGAGAACTTAATAAATGTATGTGTTCTCACTGCCCCACCAACTGGTTGCTCTCTCTCCTTGGGTCTCCCTGTTCCCTGAGACACAATATTGAAATTAGGCCAATTAGTAACTCTATAATGACCTCTCTATTGTTCAAATGAAAAAAGAGTCAAACACCTCTCATTTTCAATCAGAAGCTAAAATTGCTTAAGCTTAGTGAGGAGGGAATATCAAAGCCAATAAACAAACAACTAGATCTTTTGTGCAAAAAAGGCTAGCCAATTTGCAAAAATAAAGGAAAAGCTCTTGAAGGGAATTAAAAGTGCTACTCCAGTGGACACACAAATGGTAAGAAAGTAAAACAGTCTTATTGATACGGAGAAAGTTTTAGTGGTCTGGACAGATTAAACCAGTCACAACAATTCCTTAAGCCAAAGCCTAATCCAGAGATAGGCCCTAAATCTCCTTAAGTCTGTGACAGATAGGAGGTGAGGAAGCTTCAGAAGAACAGTCTGAGGTTAGCAGAAATTAATTCATGAAGTTTTAGGAAAGAAGTCAACTCCGTAACATCTAAGTACACTGTGAAATAACAAGTGCTAATACAGAAGCTGTACCAAGTTATCCACTAGATCAAGCTAAAATCATTAATGAAGGTGACTACACTAAGCAACAGATTTTCCCATATGAATGAAATAACCTTATTAGCAGGGGTAAAAGTAGCTGGTGACTTCAAGTTCAAACCAATGCTCATTTACCATTTTGAAAATCGTAGGTCCCTTAAGAATATGCTAAATCAACTATGTCTGTGCCCTATAAATGGAATAACAAAGCCTGAATGATAGCACATCTGTTTACAACATGGCTTACTGCTTATTTTAAGCCCACTGTTAAAGATCTATTGCTCAGAAATAGATTCCTTTCAAAATATTACTGCTCACTGATAATGTACCCAGTCACCCAAGAGGTCTGAAGGAAATGTGTAAGATTAACATTGTTTTCATGCCTGCTAACATCCTTTCTGCAGTCTGAGGTTCAAGGAATTCTGAGTTTTTTTAAAAAGATTTATTTATTTATGCATACAAAAACTAGGCACAGGCCAGAGATGCGGGGGTGAGCAGATTCACCACAGACAGAGTAGGGAACAGAACAGGCAGACCCACTGAAATACACAGCTGAGGGGGGCAGTGGGCAAGACAGGAGAGGTCTGCTGCGCCATGTGGGTAGCTCCCTGGCCTGCTGAGGATCGAACTTGTGCTGCAGAGGCTGCGGACAATTTCACAGTGTTGTGCTTAACCCCTCGCGCCACCAGGGAGGCCCCTAATTCTGACTTTCAAATCTTATTATTTAATAAATAAAGCTATAGCTGTTATGGAAAATGACTCCTCTGATGAATCTGGGCAAAGTAAATAAAATGTCTTCTGGAAAAGATTCACCATTCTATATGTCATTAAGAACATGTGTGATTCAAGAGAAGTCAGAATAAAAGGAATTTGGAAGAAGTTAACTGCAACCCTCACAGATCACTTTAAGCAACCTTCAAGACTTCAGTGGAAGAAGTAACTGCAGATATGATGGAAATAGCAAAAGCAGAACTAAAAATGGAACCTGAATTGCTACATTTTTACAATAAAACTTGAATGAGTGAGAAGTTGGAACTTATGAAAAGCAAAAAAAGGAATTTCTTAAGATGGAATCTATTGCAGATGAAGATGCTGTTGACATTGTAGAAATTCCAACAAAGCATTTAAAATACAATATAAACTTAGTTGATAAAGCAGCAATAGAGTTTGAGAAGACCGAGTCCAATTTTGAAAGAAGTTCTAAAGTGGGTAGTATGCTATAAACCAGCACTGCAAGCCAGTAGAAAAAAAGTCAACTATGTGGCAAACTTCATTATGATTTATTTTAAGAAACTGCCAGGGGCCTCCCTGGTGGTGCAAGGGGTTAAGACACAACCTATGAAGCTACCCACAGCCACTGCAGCATGAGTTCGATCCCTGACCAAGGAGCTACCATATGGCGCAGCAGACCTCAACTCTCCCACTGCTCCCCTCAGCAGTGTATTTCAGTCAATCTGCCTGTTCTGTTTCCCACTCTGTCTCTAGTGAATCTTCTCACACCCACATTTCTGGCCTGCACCCCAGTTCTTGCATGCACAAATAAATAAATAAATCTTTAAAAAAAAATGCCAGTCACCCCAAACTTCAGTCTGATCAGTCAGCAGTCATCAACAATGAGGAAAGACTTTCTACCAACAAAATGGTTAGGAATTAATGAAGGCTCAGATGACGGCATTTTTAGCAAAAAAGTAATAATGCTACCGCACACTTAATAGACCATAGTACAGTACATACAAAACTTTTATATGAACTAAAAAAAACAACCAAAATATTTGTGATTCCTTCATTGCAGTGGTCTAAACCAAACCAGCAGTATCAACAAAGTATGCCAATAAACCTTAAATGAAGTTGTTTTTAAAAGGCAGAATTAGAATTTGTCAGAGCTAGAAGAGACCAGAAGTTTCTGGATTTCAAAGGTGGAGTCACATCAAATTTCACAGATCAGAATTCAGCCATATAAACGGTGAATGTCCAAAGTTACCTAACAAATAAGAGGAATTAGAATTCAAATCTTCCAATTCTCAGTCTAGTGACACTTGTTTTACCATATTTCTTTAAATAATTTGCTTGAATATTGAATAAATCATGTCTTAAAAAGGGGGGATAAGGGAATATTTCTTTGCATTAACGACCACTATTTTAGATGACAAAGAGGTTTTTTATAAATTAATTAAGAGCTTTTATCACATCAACAACCTTAATGAAAAGAAATCTTTTAAAT